AATACTACTATCCGACTAAAATACGATAATATCGCGATAACAAATCGCTGTACAAATCAGATTTATTATTTAATAAAGAACATTTTGTCAAGTGCATTTTTTACAAATTTCCAAATCATTTTTCAATATCGCAATAAATACCGTACCGTGGATTTGTTATCGCGATATTATCGTACCGTGAGTTTTTGGTATCGTTACATCCCTAGTATTTCGACATGTTCTGTATATATCTGAGACTTTTAATATATTGATGAAAAACAGTATAATAGGGAACTTTAACACATTTTAACACAGCAGCTCTTCCATCTTTGGGAATTTAATGACTTCATTTGGATTATTTTCAGGCAAATAGTTTTTGCACACAGCGATGCTATCAGTGTATTTCGACTGGACTTGAGAACTTACGAGTGTCAACAGTCTCCTGGATGGGGATGAATCCAACAGGCAGAGTGTCCTTTATATCAATCAGCTTCATGTCCACCAGAACATTGCCTAAATGGCTCTGAAGAAGAAGATCAAATCATTCAAATGCTACATGTATGACGTAAGATTGTAACATGCAGGTCGGTGAGAGGAGAGGACTTACATTTTCTTTCGAGAAGACCCTGGTGAAGCACAGGTAGCGCGTCACCTTGGATTTGAAGAGGCCGTCTTTCCACAGGTCAGCGTCCAGGCCGTCTGTGGTGGTGGACACCTGGAGGCAGAGAGGTCGAACTGAAGCTGAAACAACGGTAACAATATCTGGTCGTCCACCTTTCCCTCCACCTGGAATAACCACATCTGATTTCTTTGAATGGCTTTTATGCTTATAGTTCTTAGCTTTAAGGTTATTTGTATAGTTACATTAACATTTGGTGAAAATACTTGTCTTGAGCATCCTTTTTTATGCTAAATTGTTTCTTAAAAATACTTAATTTGTATTATCCTTATATATATATTTATTTTTTACCTACTTTGCAACTTATTTTTTTAGATTGTTTATGTTCACACCACCAGATACCAAAGCAAATTCCTTGTATTACATTACATTGCATTTAGCTGACGCTTTTATCCAAAGCGACTTACAATAAGTACATTCGACCAGGAAGACACAACCTTGAAGAAAACAGAATCATAAAGTACATCAGGTTTCATAGAGCCAAACATTTCAAGTGCTACTCAACTGGCTTTAGGTAAGCCAGTCCTTTATTAGTACAAAGTGCTTTGTTAGTAATTCTATCGCTCGAGGTGGAGTCGAAAGAGATGAGTTTTCAGTCTGCGCCGGAAGATGTGCAAGCTATCTGCTGTCCTGATGTCAATTGTATGTGTAAACGTACCTGGCAATAAACTTGATTCTGATATATAAGCTAATATCTTTTAACTGCTGAATTGAACGCCTTATTTTTGTAGCACTTTTGCTCATCTCAGCTCTGTCTCACCAACAGCTGTTTCCTGTCGGAGCATCCACCTTTCCTCCCTGTCCCCTTAGCATGCTCTATTCAGTTAAACGTTTGAATTGGGCGGAGCTAAATTACAACCTTATGATGATGTGTTCAAGTGGAATCACATGTAAAAACAGTAGGGGTGCAGGATTCAGGAAATGTCACGATTCGATTTCTTGGGGTCACGATTCGATTCACAATCGATTCGCGATTCAAAATAGCTCAGGAGTCCGCCCTGTGAGGCGTGACGAGCGGACGGAGTGAGGAGGATTTCCTAGTTTGTTTCCCTGGATGCTGCATAAAGTCTAACGGTACGTCCACACAGCAGCTTTGAAAAAATCTTGAAAATCTTGGAGCTGGAAGTCTGAAAGCTTGGGGATTTTTTGCAACCAACAACCAATCACATGAATCTCCCGCCCCCGACATACAAAGCAAAAAACCCCGGGGATTTTATGCGAGCAATATATATATATAAAAACTCCCCAAACAGGCGAAAACCTACCAGTTTCACCCACTGTCTCTGCCTCCTCCCTCCATGCCTGGTTCCTCCGGTTTGTATCCCGTTAATAGTTCTGGTCGTAAAGAACCAGGTGATTTGCTACCGTAATTTCTCGTTTGGAATATGAGGAAATGAACTGCGGTCTGGTTCTCCCTGCTTACACGCGGTTTGATTGGCTAGAGCTTCTACTGTCAGATTTGCATAAACGGGATTTGATTGGCTGACGCTTCCAGCTCAGCTTCAAAAGTTGAACATTGCTCAACTTTTGAATCCTGGAAATCCTGGAAATCTTCGCTTCGCTCCCCCACAATGCAGTTCGGCGAAAAGCGAGGCAAAGTGACGTCACCCCATTCAAAGTCAATGTGCAGAGAAGCGTTGGAAGATTTGTTTAAAGCTGCTGTGTGGACGTATCGTAAGTTAGCGGGACATTACGGAGCTCACGCCGTAGAAAAAAATGGAAAATAGACTGAAAAATGTGAATCGATTCTTGGAAAGAAACTGAATCTAGAATGGCTAAAAGCGGTATTAACTAGCAGATTTAACAGAATTGTTAAACACTAATTGATGCCCAGCCCTTGGCGTGAGTTCAGTAACTCACCACATCATATCCGCTGGGGGCCCGGTTCCTAGAGGCCACTACTCCAACTCCAGTGATTGGGTCCATTGGCATCTCTGGCAAAGCCTCAGAAAGTTCCCGAACTTCAGGCATCTTCGTAGCGTTCTGCAACAAAAGCACCGTGACAGGTTAAACATTTTAACGAGAGAGAGAGATGCTTGGAAGGGTGATTTTACCTGAAATGAAGGTGAGCTAAATGTGCGCTTCCATTTCCTTTAACGGCTGGACTTTTTAATCTACACATACAGATATTGAGCTGTCAGATCTGATGTTATGATCATAAGCTTTGTCAGTTCTCTAAAATGTGTTTATATCAAAACTGTGACCTATGGAATTGGCATTGATGTTGAATTTAAACTTTTAAAGTACTTGTCTTCCTGCTTTCTTATCTGCACACAAAGCAGACAGAAGCGTAGGGTAGGCTATCATTTACAAATAGGCTTGATAGTGAATATGATTCGATTTTTAGAATTAGATTCCAGCTTATGACTGTTTTTCGACACATGTGATCCAAACCTTTCCAAAAGCCCAAGAGCTATGAAATAATTGACAAATTCACAAAAAAAAGTTCATGATGTTCAATCCATATTTGTTGGCATTACCTTTCAAAAACAACATCTTCACTGCGCTCAAAAAAACGGTTTGCTCTCCTGCTTGCTGCACACAAAGGGAGGCATGCACTGAAGAGTTAGATTAGAACATCAAAACAATTAATTGAATATGCCACAACACGGGGATGCACAATAAACACAATTGTAATGACTCCATACCTGACCTGCTCTGCTGTGTGTCAAATGAAGCCCTTCCTAAAGAGCCAGACACCAGCCAGTGATCCAGATGTCATGCCCTAACTTTTGGACAGCTATCATCCCACTGCAGACACACCCAGCAGCTGCATCCTGTGAATGTCTTCCTTTAATGTTGCAACTACAGTCCAGAGGGGAAAGGTGATATACTGTTGATCTGTTGGATCATAGCCTAACAGCAGGTCCATCTGCTTTTTGCTGTGGTATCTCCATTCACATACCAATGCGTTTACAAATGTCATTGTCTGAATGAGTTTAACATGTTCTATCCTGGTAATATAACATTATAATTGTGCTGTCAAGTGCATGAGTGGTTCATTCTTAACATGTAGCCTACAAATAAAGGGGTAATATTCCTGTATTTTATTTAAATCTCAATACATATTGCAATACATTCCTGATCTGGTATGTAGGGTGTGACCCTCATGTTGTACAATTGCAGGTATGTAGAGGTGAAAGCAGGGCTCTGTTTATTTAAGTGCAATACAATAAATACGCTGCACAATAATTCTGATATCAACTGGATATACTGGTTATAATTTTGAACCTAATTTAGCAGGCCTTACAGCAATTTAGCAGCATGATAATAAACATTCAGGGCAGGATTTAGACGGAGAAAGGAACCTTATTTAAGCTGCCTGGATACCAGAGGCCTCCTGCATAGCATGGCCTTAACTACCACAGTCATCTGTTCTGAGCTGTGACACAGAGAGAGTCAACAAAAGGCTGGCTGATTCAATATTAGTGTATCTCAGGTTGAAGAACAAACATCTTCAAATGACTGTTGAGTTAGCCAACAGTCTAAACCCAGATGTTTTCCTACCCAGTCAGAGTTGAGCTTCTCACATACCTCTATGTTAAGATTAGTATCACAGATGGGGAAAATACACTGCATTTTTCAAGGCTGAGCAATAAGGTCTGCAATCCAATGAAAGGACATGGATGCATACCCACAGTCTGAGAGGAAGTGCTGTGTGACTTAGCCAGGGAAGAATGGTATTGTGGGATTACAGATAACCTAGTGATTCTTTTTAAGTGAATCAATCAGTCTTAAAAAAAGTAAAAATTACAAATCAACATCTAAACACATAAGTGGCAGCTAGGTATTTAATGTGGCAGTGCATTAAGATACAGTCATGCAGAGCTCACACAACTCCATTTAAAAATGACATTGTTTACTCAAACAAACACCTTTATATATATACACAGTGTATGACAAGTTGACAACCACAAGTGACATATTAATGCGTTTATTTCGAAACGTCTGTGTTTATTATAACCGGTTTAACCTACTAGTACACTGCGTAATAAATGAGTTATGAGTAAAAAGCGGCGTAAACAATTTACAAAATGTATTGAAAAAGTATAGTAACCAACGTAAGCTAATAGCTGTTACACACATTAGCATTACTTACCATTATAGCCTATGGAGACAATAGTTAAAACATTTATTGTGCCATTTGGAGTGGTTATGGGGGTTGTTGAGGATGCCGAGTCCATTTCTGGCATATACAGCATTACAAATGGCAGTTTAAAACAGAACATGTCCATATGTGTACTCTCTGTGAACTGATTTTGATACATTTTGGGTCGATTTGGAAGATGTAGGGGACTTGGGATCGAAAACAAAAAGGTCCACAATAGAGGCAATCCCTTTCATTTCGTGCTCTCTATATCCAATGGTCACAACACTACTCATATAAGTCAAAATTAGCCTACAGAGAGTACAAATATGGCCAACTTTCAGGTTAAACATGCCATTTTTGTTTACACGGACCGTTGATTGAAGATAGGTTAGCAATACGACACAGCTAACAAGCTAGCAAGCTAACGTTCGCCTGAAACCAAACACCAACTGACACCAACGGGCAAAGCTGTGAGCGTTAGCTTTTTTATTTTACAATGCATAGTTTATATCTGAATGTATATCTAAGTCACTGTAATAACGTTATCCCACCGTCTGGGATAACAAAGGTCTATAAAGTGTCGCCTAAACACACACTGCTAATGCTAAGCTAACTAGCCGAGTAATCAACTTACCAGGCGAGGTTAGCAGTTGGATTCCACCGAGCTGTATTTTCCTCTGTGTCCGTTTTTTCACAGCTTTAGGGAGACTTGCATGTTTACGAAATTGCTCAAATCAACGAACCAATGCAACACATGAGCTGCTGCTGCTGTGTTTATGTTTGCATTGTGGTTCTCCAGCTAGTGTGTCATCATGGGTGGAGCTGTCGGAGGTGATTGTGATCCGGGGAGCGATCAGTGGAGAAGCCCCCCCGTCTGGAGCCTCCGCATTGAACCTCCATGTAAACACTCACACTTGCAAATGATGGGCAGAGGTGGAAGAAGTACTCAGATTGGGTACTTAATAAAAGTAGATCTACAAGAGAGCAGGTTTTTAAAAAAAGTACCAAAGTGTTGGCATCAAAATATACTTCAAGTACACTTAAGTAAAAGTACACATTTTCCAGTATGGCCCATATCAGTTTTAAAAATACAACATGTTCGTATTATTATTATGAACGCATTCATGTCAATGTTGCACTTGGTAAATGATGGGATTATTTAAATTACTTATTACTGCTGGGTAGCCTGATAGTAGCTACCACATACTGATTTTGTTGTTGTTGATTTATATTCTGTATTATAAATCCGTACCTGCAAAGTAGTTAGTAAACAGAATTGTAAAATAAATGTAGTGGAATAAAAAGTTAAAAAAATGCCTTGACAGTGTAGTAAAGTAACATCATGGGAAATTACTCAGGTGAAGTAAAAGTACCTCAGTATGGTGCTTAAGTACAGTAGAGTAAATGTACTAAGTTACCTTCAACCACTGGTCTTGGGGGTTTCTTAATAAAACTGTTGGTGAAACATAAAAATACATGAATGTAGGGCTATTTTTTTTATGAACGATTAGGAAAAGATGTCCCCCTTGCCAGGAGCCCAAAGACTGCAGTCACTGTACAGCAATACGTTAGTGGTAATTACATGATTTGCAAACTTAACAAGAGCACCCCTTAATCACATTAGGCTATAACATGAGACGAGTGGTTTGCACCCTTATGTGAGCTCGAGGGCAAATCTTCTGGAGAGGCTCCGAGTCAAACATCTAGTTTTAAGGTCTTCAGTGTTTCAGTATTGACCTTACATGTTGGATTATATTAAATACAAGTGTGCTCTGTATTCATGTAAGCTATGAACCTGTATGTTGTCCTTAATATAACCCATTATAGGACTATAACTGTAAACAAACACAGCGTCCCCTGAAAAAAACCTTGATACCATTCCAATGAAACACACAATGTGCTGGGTCCGACCTTAGCCTTTAGCCTTTAGCTGGGGGAACTGTGGACATATTGTTAAGGATTCAAGGAAGAAGGGATTGACCTTATTTAAAAAATAAACAAACAAGAAGTCTTCATTTCAATTTTTTTTTCATTTGTTGCATGTAAAATGTCTATGTACAGTACATGTGAAGGTTTCCTTTCACGTTGTCATGTAAAATGGTCTGTTACAGATGCAGGACAGACTCAAAGGTTTAGCATGTAGCTCGGTTTTCTTTGTTGGGTGTACAAATCCATCCCTGGGGAGGCAGCCTATGTTCAAAAGGCAGTTAAAGAACAAGAGCTGACGGCGACATGGCAGCCAAAACTCTGTCCAGCAATTCTCTGGTTCTTTCCATCATTTCTTTTTGCTCGTTGACCATCTTCACCCATGGAGTTTCAGAGACCTCCAACCAGTTCATCTGAAGCAGAGACACGTACTCTGACTCCACCTATCAGTCTTCACTTTGCTGCGTGTAGCCTAATGCTGTCTGTGTAGAGACAGGCCTCGTTTTTGCATTTACTATTTTATTTTTATAGCATCGGTCTATGTTGCTAAGCATTTCTCGTCCTTCTACTGGCCGGACTTCTTCTCCTTCTGGAAGCTGAAGCTGGTCCGGCGGCTGAGTTTCCTTTGTTTCTGGGCGAAGTAATCAGCCCGAGACGTGCTGGCCCGGGACTCCAGGATATAGTTCACCTACAAAGAAACAGTTGGTAAAAAAAAAGACCAAAAATGCAATGAAACAACAGAGACATTACATCATCAAAATGACCTCAATCAGCCACACACACACGACCCTGTGATCGGACTGGCCCACACTGATTACAGCTGCTGATGAACGGCCCCAATTCAAACATCATTACTAAGTAGGTGGTGAGTTAAAGAAATACTGTCAAGTTCTGATTTTAGAATAGAATACAATTGGGAGGGATGAAACCCTCTTTAATGGTCACACATGCAGAGCACATGCACACAGTGACATGTGTTCTCTGTATTTAACCCATCCTAGTACCAGGAGTCTAGTACTAGGAGCAGTGGGCAGCTAGTGTACAGCGCCCGGGGAGCAATGGGAGTGAGGGGGGAAGGGGGGTGTCCGGTGCCTTGCTCAAGGGCACCACGGCAGGGCAGGAGGTGAACTGGGACCTCTCCAAGTAGCAGTCCACACTCCATATTTAGGTCCGGTCGGGGGACTTGAACCGACGACCCTACAGCTCCCAGTCCAAGCCCCTACTGACTGAGCCACTGCCGCTATTGCAGCTTCTCTGCTAACCTCTTTAGGAGTTGCCATTATTGTTTACCTGTGCATGTCAGCACATATCTAGATATATTTTAGCGATTTTGTTTTTTGGCGTAATGACTGGAAACAAAACGAAGATTCTAGAACTTTGGATCTGATGTCTTACAAAAAGGTATTCATTGAAAGGATTGGCCAAAGAGAAGATGAACAATTCAATTAAAGTGTGCAGTCACATTGTAAGTCCATCTCTTCTCATCACAGCCACTCTAAATCGGGTAAAAAGTTAGCTTGAGTAATTTCCATCATAGTCAAAACAAACTTAGCAAGACTCTGTAACATCAATGTCTCCGACTTCCTATCTGTTAGGGAAATAATTGTCCTAGACTCCTAGATATGACGTGCATGACCAACCCTGACGTCTGTTATCTCCTTTAAGGAGATAGGCTGCTTCAGCCATAATGTTGTTGTTCCCATTCTATGACCGGGCAACCCTAGGTCACAGATGGTTTATTGTTGTGGGTACACTGGGACACTTCCTTCTCTGTGTTTGTGGACTCCAAGGTGTGAAATCTTCGAGGCCATAAGTGTCAGACGCAAGTAACTCAGTGTTCCCAGCTGTTTAGGCTATCTTCTCAAATATGTTGATCACTCTCTGCGAAACCAGTTAAATGGGCCAACGAGAGAGAGGCGCGCCAGAATTGACGTGGCAACTCTACCGTGAAGTCAGAACCTCTGGCTTTTGGACTTGTGATGTGAATCCTCCGGCCGAAGCTCCTAAATTAACCATCAGTGTTTGACATCAAAGCTCCTGCTCTTCCCGTGTCTCTTTCATGAGTCGGTGACTCCCACTGCATTGCTACATAGAAGTTTCCTCTACACTATCTACTTGACATCACATACCAGAGAGCGGTATACCAGTATTCACTCTCATCAGTGCAGGGCAGACAGCTCTGCATGTCTATATTATTAGACTAGAGAGAATTACCTAACCCAATGAGAGATATGTGACCTAATAACTCAAATTATACCTGAGAAGGAAAGTTTAATGTCAAAATATGTATAATGTCTACAGTTTAAACGTATATTAACGTATGCAAATACAAATAAATAGGATTTAACTCTATAATTACTGATGGGTGATTTGTGATATCTCAAGAATACAGTTGCCAAGCAAGGCAAAGTGGGTTAATCTGAGTTTTTTTACTGAACACAGCTGTCTGCTGTTTGAACTGTCACTGATGAGTAAGTTAGACTGAACCAAAACACAAATGTGAAATCAAAACAAGAAGCTGATGCCCTAGCCACACGGAGACGATACGGGTCGTATCCGCTACAGTTCTCCATCATATAGACGGTTCGTCCACACGAGGCCGACAGGGAAACGCAGATAACGATAACGGGTCCCAAGGTGGGTAGATCTGTGGACGCAACGCTCTGGGGGGCCAAACGGCTCCGTGATTACGCCCTGGCCTATACGATCATTTCCTGATAACGAAAATACTGACGGGCTTCCAGGAGAGGGGGAGGAAAAGAGAGACTCCGTGTATTATTCTTATATTATTATATAGAGTCGTTATTCATTTGTTTTAAAGCTCAATAAATAACAAAGAAGACCTTTGACCGGCACTTTTTATAATTTTGTCTGGAAGATTGAAAGTTTAAGGGACATGTTGTCGACCGACTGAAACTCTGCCGCACGGTCCCCTCGTCCCTTGGAAGAGGCGGAGAGGTGGGTGTTTTTCATCTGCTGGTGGACTACCGGAGAGAATCACAGCAGGAGCAAACGCTTGCCTCGGGGAGGGAGAAAAAGAGCCAGAGCGTCCACAGCGGAGAATAAACAGAAGGGCAACCATGGCCACCATGCACGCTCGGGAAGTCTTCTTCGCTGCTTTTGGTGTATTTTGTGGCGGAAGTACAGCGCCACTTACAGGCCCGGCATATGTACTACAGCGTCTCCAGCGGGTCGAGCGGTCTCGTGTGAAGGGACACGTTTCTGGTGCCTATTGCGTTTGGACGGAAGACTTTTTTGATATCGAATTCGGTTTGTTTTCGTTCTCGTGTGGCTCCAGACTGAGACTTGCTCTAAAGCTCTGTAGAGTAGGTGATGAGTGTTTAATTGATAGCTGTGCTTTTCAAAGGTAATCTGGAACAGCTCATTAGACACAGAAATAAGAGTTATCTTAAGAACTCACCCGTAGAACTATTTCATTGACAGTAGCAGCATCAGACTCGAAGTAGAGCGGCTTGTAGTCGTGGTTGCTCAGATAAGTGAATTTAAATATTGCATGACCTGTAAGACAGAGAAAACACGTTGACTTTGAGACAAAAGAACAAGAAGTGGTGAAATGCTAACTCATTTCATGGTTTTTGGGACTCATTCCTGAAAATAATGGAAATGGAAAGCAGGGGATCAGAATGCCAATTGCTGGTTAAACTCTTGTTGATTATGGTTTGTAGAATGTGTCCTCACAACCTGTCTGAGTGTAAAACCAGTCCCTGCTGGATGTGTTGAGAACATGTGTGGAGAAGTGAAAGGGACAGTGAGATTATTTCTGCTGTGATCAATAACGAGATCATATACAGCTCTTTCAGCTGCACTCACTGGGGCTTCTCTCCTCCACGAGGTCACAGGCACAGAGGTGGTCCGAGTCGATAGAGATGGGTTTCTGACGGATCCAGAACTTAGTGCTGGCCTTCTGATTGGTGACAGGATCGATCTCCACTTTCTCTCCTGAAATGCCTGAAGAAACACAGAATATATCAAACACATGATAACAACAGTGCCTCAAAATCCTAACCTTGTCACATTACGTCTATTTTCTACCATTTAACAAAAATAAAATGTAAGCAAAATACTGTGGATGCTCAGCCCCTTAGATTTAACAAACTGAAAACTCATCTCTTTCGACTCCACTTCGAGCGTTAGAACGATTAACGAAGCACTTTTATACCAATAAAGGACTGGATTACCTAAAGCCAGTTGAGTAGCACTTGAAATGTTTGGCTCTATGAAACCTGATATACTTATATGATTCTGTTTTCTTCAAGGTTGTGTCTTCCTGGTCGAATGTACTTATTGTAAGTCGCTTTGGACAAAAGCGTCAGCTAAATGCAATGTAATGTAATTTATCATTTTAAACTTATCTTATGTACAACCAATCACCTTGAAGATCACACACAAAGCTAATTTGCCGCCTGCCCGACATCATTTGCATTGATTTAATCTATCTATCTCTATCTCTCTCTCTCTCTCTCTCTCTCTCTCTCTCTCTCTCTATCTATCTATCTATCTATCTATCTCTATCTATCTCTATCTCTCTATCTCTCTCTCTATCTATCTATCTCTCAAAACAGGCTGGTTCCTTTAGTTTGAATGTGTGTTTGGTGGCGTGATCATTATTATTTAGAGTCATTGCGATATTGATTTGAACACGATCCGTGATTTTGATTAAATAACCGGTTATCCCCACCTCAAAGTTTACCAAACTAGCTTAGCATTGAGCTATAACTCAAAAGGCCTGTGCACTTTACTTATACGGTTATGCGTCATGTATCAAAAAGAGTGCTCCAGCCTTCAGAGAGCAGTACGCACCTAGCTGGACATCCGTGGTGAAGCGCAGCTTGTGGATCATGCTGATCTTGAAGGACTTATAGTGGTGACTGCTCAGCATGTCCTGCACATTGGAGTTGTCATTAGGAGGGTCTTCCTCTGAGCTCTCCTCCCCTCTGGAGCCTGGAGACAGAAGGGAAATCATTCAAAAACCACTTATTTTAACCCATGATGGAGAAGTACAGCTGCACAATGAATACAAAATGATTCTTCTGTGTTGTTATGGAGATGTGGAGAGATTAGATAAATAACAAGTGGATGATACAATAACAGACAAACACAGCAAGGTTATTTATGTAAATAAATCTATTTCAGAATAAAATGTGGTGAAAGAAATGCTGAATAAAATGCAGGACGTGTTTACACTGTCCGGCCGATCAAATAAACTCTCATCTTGAAGTGTTTATCTTGCATTACAAACACACTCACTGTAACCACTGCGAGGTCCTTAAAAACGACCTCAATGTTTGCTATAAACAGACCTTTTACACAAATATACATCTGATAAGGGCCTGCAGGAGAGAGACACTGAAGACATGTTGTAAACACGATTCTACTCCAAACTATCCCAAGATGTGAAATCCTGCCTGAACACCGTCAGGTTAGAGGTGCAGAGAAGCTGTGGGGTTATTCATTGAGAGGCTAGTCAGTTTAGGTGTTGATGTCCTGGTGTTACTCACTGTTCTCTCTGACCAGGCAGAACTCCAGGGTGCTCTGGCTCTCCAGCGTAGCGTCCAGATCTACGGACACATTCGGCTCCGTCTGCTTCTCCAGGCGATACATGGGACCTGTTGGACGATAATGGAGTCAGATCATAGTTTAGCGTTTTCTAAATTTAAATCAAAATTAATTTCCTGTCGTGCTGGATGTGAGACAACCAAACTTACAAATGACATAATAATAGTATCTATCTATCTCTCCATCTATCTATCCATCCATCCATCCATCTCTCTCTATCTATCTCTCTATTTCTCTCTACCTACCTATCTATCCATCCATCCATCCATCTCTCTCTATCTCTCCCTATCTCTCTATCTATTTCTCTCTACCCATCTATCCATCCATCCATCTCTCTCTATCTCTCTATCTATTTCTCTCTACCTATCTATCTATCCATCTATCCATCTCTCTCTATCTCTCCCTATCTCTCTATCTATTTCTCTCTATCCATCTATCCATCCATCTATCTATCTCTCTCTATCTAAAGAGTGGGGGAGGTAAATGACGCAAGAAGTGTTTTTACCTGAGCCTATCTGTGAGCCTTTCCTCTTCTTAAGTGCTTTCTGGAGAATGTCCTTCATGGTGACCTTCAGACTGTCCACAGGGATTAAGGAGAAACCATGAGCAGCATTTCTGTAATAGAGAAAAATCAAGAAAAAGGTTAAGAAGGCTTCTCCAGCTTTATTTGAATGATTCAGACATACAATAAACACCTGAGATAGAACAACCAAAGACATCTGGCTTCTTCCGTTCGCCTGAATACTCATTCTTCTCTTTGACTACTGAAAACATTTCATATGGAAATAAAAACAATGTCTAAAAGTACAAGCGGAGAGGATCATGAAGCAGCAGAGTAAATGCTTTCAGAACTCAAACCTCGATAAAGAAACCAATGACAGTGTGTCGAAAATAGGGGTGCAACAACTAATCGACTTAATCGATTACCAAATTAGTTGCCAACTAATTCAGTCGTCGATTCGTTGGTGACGTCATCACGTGTGTTTTACGCGCCGTTAAGCTCCAACGTTATCGGTCTTTTTATCGGTACTGGAGACATTTAAAACGTATGTCATGTATTATTGCTACATAAACATTATATCGCAGTCTTAGTGTCGCCAACTCCGTTTCTAATATGCAATCAGACTGCAAAATGCATCTATGATGTATTTTTTATCTTTCCAATCCAGACGAGATCTCTCTCTCCTGTCTGTGTGCGAGGGGGCGGGGCCGTTTACACACACGCTCTACTACATACATGCAACACACACACACGCTCTACTACATACATGCAACACACACACACACATGCACACACGCACGGCTGCTACAGTACATGCATGCATGCAACACACACACACACACACACACGGCGGGGAGAAAGTGCTCCGAGGTGTGGTTAAACTTTACCCGTCTCAATGCTCGTTACCTAAAGTGCAATAAGAGTTCAGCATGTGAGGGCGGTAATACGAGCAATTTGTCTAAACATTTATCAAAAGCGCTCCACATCCAGACGGAGGAATGCACCGGGTTCCACTGTCTTTCTAGCAGCTCTGTAGCTCCATCCACGAGGAACGTTTCCACGTCAGGAGTTATGTATGCTAGCAGCAACACATGGAGTTAACTACATGATACAAACACGGGTTAATGATTAGAGGTAACTGAGTTATTTATTTAGTTAAAGTTTCAGCTATTCTGTTTACAGTCTGTCATCACATTATTTAATACGATTTGTTAAAACATTGTTGTTTCTTTTGATGTGAAATATTATTTATTTAATTTAAATAAAAAACAATGTTAGTTTTGTTCACAATGTGTTTAGTTAGTTTACCTTATTTTTATCCAAAAGAACCGATAAGAGTACCGTTAAAGGACCGGATCGATAAGCGGTATAAAAGTAGTAGTACCGTTAAAACGATCCGAATAATCGATTAATTGTTTCATTCATCGATTATCAAATTAGTCGTTTGTTGCAGCCCTAGTCGAAAACACATGAAAATGTTGGTAAGAGACGGTTATCTCTCCAAATGTTTTTCCATCCAAGCAACATGACTACAAATATTAAAAAAGACAGAAGGAAACCCTTGTGTCAGGTTCAGCAATAAGAAGGTTCGACATGGTGATCATGGAAGCTATATACCTTAATAATAATAATATTCACTAGTAAACTCACCTGTTCACCATGGCCTTTGACCCCTAACCCAACCCCCCTGCTTCAACTCCCACTGCTATTTATTTAATTTCTTTACTTTATTATTTCCCCAACTTGTTTGTTTGTTCAAGGTTCTTTATTTTGTCATATGAACATAGCTACAGTGTAGTTATGCTGATGAAAATCTTAGGTCACAGGCTCCGCCAACAGTGCAACACAATAACACAGATAAACACACCAAAGAGTCCTTTTTAAAAATATCAGTGCCGAATTTTAAATGGAAATACTGCAATATTTTTACTATATTTTTTATTATTTCAAATTTGTTAAGGTTATTTTTTATGTACGCACCATGACATGAAGTCAAATTCCTCGAACGTGTAATAAACCTGATTCTGATTAGGTCCCTGGAAAGAAGCTATAATAAATGTAATCTATTATTATTAAGCTATATTCCTTGATATACATTGAGGACATTTACATATTCACACTTACTGATGGTGGTGGTCTTTCTTACTTACATTCTGACAAACAGTGACTCTCTGGAAGCGAGGCCAGGCGACGAGTATTTCTCCACCAAGGCCAGCGTGCTGAATCCAAACTTGTGGATTGGTTCGTTGGAGTCGAGCGGAGGGAAGTCGGTGTCCACCTCGCCATCATCCTCAGCGATGTGCAGGCAGTAAGCCGTCACATTGTCACTGAGCACAGAGAGGCAGAGTGTAAGAGAAACTGACGCTCGGTGAAACGTCCCATGTTAAAATGTGTTAGCACCAGGTGTGTGAAGTAGTGGAGTACAAATACTTTGTTACTGTACTCAAGTACATGTTTCTGGTATCAGTACTTTACTTATCAGGACTACTTTTTACATGTTGAACACAAATACCTGTACTTTCTACTTCTTACATGTTGAACACAAATACCTGTACTTTCTACTTCTTACATGTTGAACACAAATACCTGTACTTTCTACTTCTTACATGTTGAACACAAATACCTGAACTTTCTACTTTTTACATGTTGAACACAAATACCTGAACTTTCTACTTCTTACATGTTGAACTCAAATACCTGTACTTTCTACTTCTTACATGTTGAACACAAATACCTGAACTTTCTACTTCTTACATGTTGAATTCAAATACCTGTACTTTCTACTTCTCACATGTTGAACTCAAATACCTAATTTCTACTTCTTACATGTTGAACACAAATACCTGTACTTTCTACTTCTTACATGTTGAACTCAAATACCTGTACTTTCTACTTCTTACATGTTGAACTCAAATACCTGTACTTTCTACTTCTTACATGTTGAACTCAAATACCTGTACTTTCTACTTCTTACATGTTGAACACAAATACCTGTAATTTCTACTTCTTACATGTTGAACTCAAATACCTAATTTCTACTTCTTACATGTTGAACACAAATACCTGTACTTTCTACTTCTTACATGTTGAACTCAAATACCTGTACTTTCTACTTCTCACATGTTGAACATAAATACCTGTACTTTCTACTTCTTACATGTTGAACACAAATACCTGTACTTTCTACTTCTCACATGTTGAACTCAAATACCTGTACTTTCTACTTCTTACATGTTGAACTCAAATACCTGTACTTTCTACTTCTCACATGTTGAACACAAATACCTGAACTTTCTACTTCTTACATGTTGAACACAAATACCTGTACTTTCTACTTCTTACATGTTGAACTCAAATACCTGTACTTTCTACTTCTTACATGTTGAACTCAAATACCTGTACTTTCTACTTCTTACATGTTGAACTCAAATACCTGTACTTTCTACTTCTTACATGTTGAACTCAAATACCTGTACTTTCTACTTCTTACATGTTGAACACAAATACCTGTAATTTCTACTTCTTACATGTTGAACTCAAATACCTAATTTCTACTTCTTACATGTTGAACACAAATACCTGTACTTTCTACTTCTTACATGTTGAACTCAAATACCTGTACTTTCTACTTCTCACATGTTGAACTCAAATACCTGTACTTTCTACTTCTTACATGTTGAACTCAAATACCTGTACTTTCTACTTCTTACATGTTGAACACAAATACCTGTACTTTCTACTTCTTACATGTTGAACTCAAATACCTGTACTTTCTACTTCTCACATGTTGAACCCAAATACCTGTACTTTCTACTTCTTACATGTTGAACTCAAATACCTGTACTTTCTACTTCTTACATGTTGAACTCAAATACCTGTACTTTCTACTTCTCACATGTTGAACTCAAATACCTGTACTTTCTACTTCTTACATGTTGAACTCAAATACCTGTACTTTCTACTTCTTACATGTTGAACTCAAATACCTGTACTTTCTACTTCTTACATGTTGAACTCAAATACCTGTACTTTCTACTTCTTACATGTTGAACACAAATACCTGTACTTTCTACTTCTCACATGTTGAACTCAAATACCTGTACTTTCTACTTCTTACATGTTGAACTCAAATACCTGTACTTTCTACTTCTCACATGTTGAACACAAATACCTGTACTTTCTACTTCTCACATGTTGAACTCAAATACCTGTACTTTCTACTTCTTACATGTTGAACTCAAATACCTGTACTTTCTACTTCTTACATGTTGAACACTAATACCTGAACTTTCTACTTCTTACATGTTGAACACTAATACCTGTACTTTCTACTTCTTACATGTTGAACTCAAATACCTGTACTTTCTACTTCTTACATGTTGAACACAAATACCTGTACTTTCTACTTCTTACATGTTGAACTCAAATACCTGTACTTTCTACTTCTCTCATTTTCCAAACAGCTGGTTCCTTTAGTCTGAATGTGTGTTTGATGCGTGATCATTATTCTTTAGAGTCATTGCGTGCCTATTGATTTGAACACGATCCGTGTATCCATCATTTCCTGGTCTTCTCTAAAGAAGAGGGACCAATGGAAACGTTGTCATGTTGCCGTTGTTCAGCATGGAAACATTCATTAGCTAACAATGACATTATTGTTCTATTCATATAAAGGGAGGTCAGGTACTCTTTAAAGCAGCTGCTAGTTATGGGTACTTTTTACTGAAGTACATTTCAAAGCCTCTTTACTTTTACTTGAGTAAAGAAGTTTAGTCTGTACTTCTACTTTCACCAGAGTATTTTTAAACACGAGTATCTGTACTTCTACTTGAGGAAAGGATGTGTGGACTTTTGCCATCTCTGGTTAGCACTCACTTGAGTTTGGGTTCTCGTCCCTCGCTCGTGTACTGCCAGCAGATGAGGCCGATGAGGTCGTGGACGCGGGCGTTAGCAATGGTCACCACTGTCATGGGATGCAGCTTCTCCTGGGCCAGCTGCATTGAGAGGTAGACGTCTATCTTCTTGGTAGCCGTTGTGCCAATGTGGCCCTGAAGAGGTGAGAAGACAAGCAGAGGGAAATCCATGATGAGAGAAACATACACAGCAAATGCTAAGCTACACTTTAGCATGCACTATAGATAAGATAAGATAAAATATCTTCTTGGTCGAGTGCACTTATTGTAAGTCGCTTTGGATAAAAGCGTCAGCTAAATCCAATGTAATGTAATAAAATGGAACTTCATTTATCCCCGTGGGGAAATTCAGGCGTTTATAGCAGCAACCGGGTCAGAGTGAAAAACAGGATTCACAGAAGGTAAAAAAATAGGTATATCGGGGAGCTTTCTTCAAGGGTCAGTCTGCCACACTGCTGCGTTTTGGTAAAAATACTACTTAAGATAAAAAGAACAGTAGGAACAGGAACCAACATCATTAGTTGGCCTGTGTTCATTGTTTTCATTTGTGTTTAGACAGCATACATTAGTTTTGGATCCATTCTGGTTATTGTCAGTGGTTTAAGGTATTTACTGCGCATGTTGTATGTTGGTGGACAAAGATGAGTGAGCCGTGTCGGATATTTTCTGTTGACCGTTTGGTCTTGTTTTAGTATTTGTTTACTTTAATTTCTTTATTTAACATCCTGAAACAAGACCATTAGCACAGGCTTACTCCTAAAAGCCCACAGAGAGTACAAATATGGCCACTTTCCTGGTTAAAACTGCCATCTTTGATCCTGAAAATGTCAGACATGGACTCAGCATCCTCAATTATCCCCAAAACCAGTCCAAAATTGTCCGAATCGGCCAAGCCATTTTTAACTATTGTCCACAGGCTATAATGGAAATGCTAATTAACACACCATATGCTAATTGTGCAAATTGCCCAACATATGCAAGTTAGCATCGGGCAGTTTCTATGAGCTGGGGACCCATACTCTACATTTCTAACATAAAACTAGTGCTGCGTACCTGGACTCACATTCAGGTTCAGGTCCGGACTCAAGTCCAGAGGTTCAGGTTCAACCCATGGCTTGTGTCAAGTTGTGTGAACTAAAGTGAACTTATTGTGAGCTAATTATCAATTGAAAATTAACTCATAATCAACTCAAATTCAAACTCATCAGGTTTATTGTGCTCCCTTCCAACTTGTCTCTACATTTCTCTACAAAGTACAAATGTAAAAAAAACACTTGTTGCCACTTAGTCTACAAATGACTTATGACAGCAACTACAGTGAACTACTACAAAGTTCAAACATTTATTTCATTACCAAACTAAAGTAACCAAACAGTCCCTGAGCTGACTGAGCCTAAATCCCTAAAACGTTGCTGAAAGGTAGAGTGTAGACACATGCTAAGGTGAAGCTACCGCACACGCTATTTGTTGTTTGTTTATATCACGTAGTCTGTTCTTCTTCTCTGTTTTCCGGTTGTTGCCTGTTTTGAATGACAAATACACACTACCGCCGCCTGCTGGTAAGGAAAGTAATTGCCACTCACGCATGCGCAGTTCGTACGTGCTCGAGTAAAGTAACGAGTTACTTTATGTAGATAGTAACGAAGTAGTGTAATATATTACTTTTTTTAAAGTAATATGTAATATATTGCTTTTTTTAGTAACGACCCCATCTCTGGAGTTGGCGTTCTCTACTCTGATTTACATAAAGAACAACAGGAGGTCACAGCTCTCTGTTGAACAGGACTTGCGAGTGGCCCTCTCCTCAGTGCCACCAAGGATTAAAAAGGACAGGCTATCTCACTAATTTGTAAGTCGGCAAAATATTTACAATAGCACATGTTTCAATGCTGATTGCTCAAATGTTACATTTATAATTTGTAGTTCAGGAGTAGACTATACGCATTACACTGTTACACACCTACTATACAGTATAGGCTACACTGTAGTGACTGACTGTACAGTCAGAGTGTACTGTACTGTCTGTACACCATGTCTTTTCTACAACTCTACATGTGTACATTATACAGTACATACTACATACATAGTGATGTACATACATACTGTTAGAAATTAAAATCAATGTTGATATGGCGTAATTTTGAATTAAATACACTATTAATTTAAATCAGTTTTATTCTGAAAAAACCGGAAGTTCTCACTATTAACTTAATACTTTTATTCTGAAAATGATTCATTTCCGGTTAGCATTAGCATGTGGCGAAATGCTCCGTTTTCAAACCGTGAATCGAAGGTGAAATGACATGTGATGTTGTACACTGAGCACACTGGGTTTAGTGAAAGTAACTAAAAAGTAGTGTAACTCATTACATTTCAGAGACGGTAATATTGTAATGTAACTTATTACTTTCAAAAGACAGTAATAAGTAATATGTAATATATTACATTTTGGAAGTAACTTGCCCAACTCTGACTGGTACGCAGCACTACATAAAACTATGGTGTACTGCACATTTCCAGGATCACAACAGGACTCTAGGAGCTGGCAAATAGACGATTACAGTATACAAACGTTTTAATTAGATACTAGCTAATGCAAATGATCAGGAAGAAAATGTGGAAAGCCTCACCTTGCCATCGAATTTGGAGTATTCATTGAAGGGGTTGTTGAGCTGCTGGGGACACTGCTCCAGACGCAGAGACAGAGTGGATTTGGTGCCCGTCAACCGCGGCCGGTCTTTAAAATCTCGCTTCTCAAACAGCGACCCCAGATCCTCCACTGGACAGAAACATGAGAGACAACATGCAGCACACACTTGGGTTATTTTCAAATACATTGATTATAGTGGCGACTGTCTTCTAACTGCAGAGACATGTCCAGATGTCATCTTGTTATCAAAACTACAAAAGTGTTGGAGGAAAGTGCAGCATCATTTATTTAACATTAAGTTGAAACTCCTTTACTTCACAGCTGCAGGTTTTGTTGTTGCGTTACTGTAATTGTCAGTTCTTTTCCCACTTATTGAGCTTTTTCAGACAATAAGTCTGAGTACAATAACATTGTTTCCAGACAGTATGTGATCTAGAGCAGTGGTTCCCAAACTTTTTGTGCCCAAGGCACACCAAAGGACAAGTACAAATCTCAAGGCACACCTATTGTGCAAAATAGCCCTTATAACACGTGTTATCACTCATATCATGTAAAATATCTGTAAATGTGCATAATTATTTACTAATGCCAAATAAAATGTGACAAAGACTACTATATTACTCATGAAATATTTATTAATGAAGTATTTCAGAAATGAATTTGAAACTTTATCAAATTAGGCTTCATCAAAGCAGCAACACACTCATTTAAACCAGACAGGTCACACAATAAAAAATGAGGCAAAAGAAACTCAGCAGAAATTCAGCACAGAGAACTGTCAATGCAAGGAAGCTGCATTGCATGGTCCTGAACTACACATTATAAATGTAACATTTCAGCAATCAGCATTGAAACATGTGCTATTGTAAATATTTTGCCAACTTACAAATTAGTGAGATACATGTGCCTGTCGGGGCGCGCAGAATGTTTTAATCCTTGGTGGCACTGAGGAGAGGGCCACTCGCAAGTCCTGTTCAACAGAGAGCCGTGACATCCTGTTGTTCTTCATGTAAAGTTAACCAGAGTAGAGAACGCCAACTCCAGAGATGGGGTCGTTACTAAAATAATATATTACACTACTTCGTTACTATCTACATAAAGTAACTCGTTACTTTACTCGCCGAGCACGTACGAACTGCGCATGCGTGAGTGTCAATAACTTTCCTTACCAGCAGGCGGCAGTAGTGTGTATTTGTCATTCAAAACAGGCAACAACCGGAAGACAGAGAAGAAGAACAGACTACGTGATATAAACAAACAACAAATAGCGTGTGCGGTAGCTTCACCTTAGCATGTGTTCTTTGCAGGTGTTTGTTGAGGTTTGACCACGTGGTGTTTCCAGCAGTGGATAACAGCTTCTGGCCTGGACACAGTTTGCACCTCACCGTCACATTCCTGTCTATTCTTCGGACGAACTCAAAATAATGGGCAGACCTCCACCCCTCGAAAGTTATCGCTGACTCAGCCATGTTTATGCAGCACTGTACGTGGAGATGTGGACGCACAAGTCGCGCAGATTACGTACATATAAACCTACAAAGTACTGATATAGTAAATTAAAAAATAATTATTTGTTGTGTAGTTGTATATTGCAATAATAACGTATGGTTGTCACAAAATCCCACGGCACACCGTTTGGGAACCACTGATCTAGAGCAGTGATTCTCAAATGGGGGTACGTTGGGGTACTGCAGGGGGTACGGGAGATTAAAAAAAATAAAATAAAGTTTAATTAAAAAAAATACCATGCATGATTATAAAAATAATCTTAGTACAATAAGTGAAATAGAAAACACAATTTTATATAAAATATTTCTAGAACCACCAAGGGGGTCCTCATATAAACATGTCAAATGTGTGTATTGTATTTTATAGTTTTTCATAATATATCATTTTGTTCATTGGTTTGTTAAACATATATATTACTTCAATTGAAAAACTCCTTGGAAACATCGTTATGTATGTTCTTTTTTTTCATGCACAAAGATGAAAAAATCCTTAGTTTGTTGTAATTCATGCATGAAGGAGTTAATAAATCACACACTGATGGAACATCACTATATATTGTAATTATGTATATAGGCTTTTTCTATCAAAGATGTTCGGGGTCGGTCAGGGGGTGTTTCAATGTTTCAAAGGGGGTACATTACTGAAAAAAGTTTGAGAAGCACTGAAGTCTAGAGCAGGCATATTCAATTAGTTTGTAATGGGGCCGGTTGATGAAAATGATCCAAAGCAAGGGGCCGGGAAAAAGATGGCTTGAAATATGATCATATTAAGAGCTTCAGATCCAGTAAATACTACAACAGCATAGTGGAGTGCATATATTGTGTTAATTAAATCAAACAACATAGCCCCAAGGCCTTTCTAGATCTAAATGGCAAGTTCAGAACTCAGGCCCACATGTGAAGCTAATTCAACCATCAACATAATTTCATTTGATTTCATTTAGGTGAAATTATCTAATCATTCACGCAGAGATATAATCAATGACAGGAGTTGTCACTACAGTAGCTAGTAGGTGGGTTCGAAACCCGAGCCCGCCGAAGTTTTCAGGCAATGTCTTCCCCTCTATCTCTCAATGTAACACCCTCTCTGGAATAAAGACACTCTGGCCCAAAAAAATAAATATATACAGGGTTTCCCACACATAGACTATACTTGGGCGGGCCGCCCAGGTATATTAACGGCCGCCCAAGTATATTTCGCGACCCATTTAGGTTTTTTTTGTTTTTTTTTTTTTATACGTTCGTGACCATCTGCGATCGATTAACTTGTAGACAATGATCCCTCGCTCCCTTGCTCTGATCTCGCCTCCTTCTGGCCTGTTAAGTGGCCTGCCTCACACAGGGTGACTGGCTGTCCACATGATGTGGTCTGCCGACATGGCCACTGTCATACAGATCATAAATCAAAGCCCTTGATTGGTCTCTGTGTGTCATTCAAGCTCGGGATAACCTCAGCTCAGGTGAGGTAAAGCACTCTCTGAGTGTTTAGATAGTTAACTTAGTCTAAGTTCTCAGTGGGTCTCAAACGGTGTGGTCACCATTTATGTAAACACATATTTCCATTTGAGAGGGTAGTGATTGGTCTAATGGAGAGTGAGGTGGGCTGAAGATCGGAAGGCTGTGAGTTCAAATCCCGCCAGGAACACCACCACTAGTGTGCCCTTGAGTAAGGCACTTAGCCCTTAGTTACTCCAGGGAGAATGTCCCTGTAATCGGTCATTATAAGTCGCTTTGGATAAAAGCGTCAGCTAAATGAAATGTAATGTGATTAGTAAAATATGCATGAATAAATAAATAAAAAGTTAACTAGGTGAAAAAAGGTAAGATACACTTTTAAAACTTGCTGAGAGAAAACTAGTCTTTGCTGCTGCCTCAAAGAGGAGCAGGGGGGAGAGGAGGGAGACAGGAGAGGCTGATTCAGGAACACAGACACACTCACAACTATAAATGAACCAAAACTAAAATAAACAAACAAGTTTCAGTGTTTTTTTCATATTGGATATGGTAGGTTATTGGTTATGGCCATGATTTTATGATTATTGAAATATATACAGTTCTGTTTAATATAGGTGTTTCCATAGATCTAGTCTCTTTATTTTCCCCTCAAAATGCACCAGATTGATGCATTTAACTCCAAAATAAAAAATTAAATCTTACCGGGGGGGCATGCCCCTGGACCCCCCCTAGAGGATTTGAGGTCGACCCCCACTAAAAATCACATGGATAGGTTCCTAAATACATTAATAAATACATTATTTTTTTTTAAATAGTAACTCCATTTCCATATGTTCATGTGTGGGTGGTAGATTTAAACTATAGGGCTATCATTATGGACCCTGCCTGTACCTGTTCGCTCTGCCATCGCGTGAAGGGTCTGCTAACAAGCGACCAACAGAAAGGTTAATGTTAATGTTGTTGCACGTCACCTCAACCCCCCCCCCCCCCCCCCCGCTACCACCACCCCCCAAAGTATATTTCAGATCTGTGGGAAACACTGGCAGTTAATGGACCAGCACCAGAGGCGTTCCCATACACACAGGCGTTGGAGCTGTTCTTCATGAAATCCCAGAAGGATGAAGTGCTCTGACAAACAGTGCCATCTTTGCGCAAAATGATTATACAGGAATGAAAAGTCAATAAATAAACATGTTGTTAAAACTTTTTTTTTTTTTTTTCGCGCACCCCCCCCCGCCTGCTGCCACCACCCGCCCAAGTATATTTCATATCTGTGGGAAACACTGATATATCTTTGAAAAATGTGATTACTTTTTAACATTATACTCAAAGGGCCAGTAAATATCACCACGGGGCCGCCAATTGAATAGCCCTGGACTAGAGTTACGAGAAATATTCCTGTGTATTATGGACACATAGTAAATGCAAAGAGTTTCATGTTCACAAATAATCAAGGTTAATAGAAATAGGGTTTTTGAGTGAGGGCATATTCACAATCATTTTGAGATATATGTTAACCTTTTAGATCAACTTCCAGTACACAAGTTGTTCCTTACTCTTAACAAAAATGTCAGTCTCTCCATCTCATTAATTTCTCTAATGATTTCAATCCAATGGCCGACTGTAGGAGGATTGTCTTGCAGCCACTTACGAGTGATTGCTTTTTTATTCATTGTATATTTTTTTACGCTAATGTTATCCAAAAAACTATATATAATTTGCAGACGCGGAAAATATGTTTTCCACTATTTTATCCTCGACTTTGTGTCAGAAAATCACATTAATTGTCTCCCAACACACCAAATTAGGTACAGCTTTGTTATTTTAAAATACATTATATGTGTAGCTTTACCTGATTGGGAGGCGTGGGACCTCTCCTTCCACTGAACGTTTTTACATTTGATTTGGTTCTGCCGCTCCTTCCTTAACCTTTCGAGTCTTTGGGCTGCAAAGGAAAAAATACATTTAAAAGTCACACCTTTAAAACTCTTCACACACAGACACCATTAAAATACCAGTACACTGTACTTCGCTTCAAATGCATATCTTTAATAGTGCATATACAACAGCGATAGGAAAGAAGGCCATCTGTCATGTGATATTTTCCATCACACACACAAATATGTACAGTACACACACAGAGAAGAGCTATCATCTTGTTAATGTTATTAGTTCATCCCTCGTATCTTACCAGCAGCCCCGGGTTTCTCGCGGTTATCTTGCTGGTGTCCTGATGAGATCCACCACAGGTCAGTATCTCAGGTCTCAGAGGATTTCAACCCACAACCCAGAACCAGCACTCCACCAAACTACACAGCTCAAGAGAGCCAAAAAGAGACGTGCCGTCTGCCTTTGGACTCCCTCTAGCCCCAAAACCAGATTTACCCTCTCATAAAAGCTGGATGTAGCTTCACACATGCACACTTTTGATTTGATTCAAACTCACTTTAAAAAAAAAAAATGTTTTAACACCAACACACCCCAACTTAAAAAGCTAAATCATTTAAGGGTGGATTAACCAAATGATTAAACCAGGGATGTCAAACATAAGGCCCTTGAACTAAAATGAGTTTGACACCCCTGGACTAAAACTTAAAAGGTCCATTTCTACTGATCATAATTCCATTGTTAAGGTCTACTAAAATAGATTTATATTGTGCAATTTTCCAAACTCACATTGGTTTCTCATACAGCATCTCTGTATAGTATGTGTATTCACTCTCTGTCCTAAACGGCTTGTTGGAGCTCCTGCCCCCCCCCCCTCCCTGTGAGCCCAGTGGCCGTCTGCGAGACAGCGAGACACAGCGAAACCCAGCCCCAAACACACCCGCAGCCTGGCTGGGAGTTTGTGTGTGTGCTCAGGCTGAGTTCCGCGGTGTCTCGCTGACCCCACATCAGAGAGCCAGCTCACAGTGCCCCGCTCCTCGCAGCAGCGAGCCTCGCAAAGGCCCGCCGAGTGTGTGTGTGTGTGGTCCAAACATCCATTTGGACCAATCTGCGGAGCCGTTATGTTACGTCACTATACCCAAGAAGTAAACAATGGAAAAAGAAAAATCTCCAACGAGGCGTTCTGGGACAGGTATTTTCTGTGTTAGACTTTTACTCGCTACAGGGTGTACATTGAGGCTTTGTGACCCTGCAGACCGTTTACATGCATAAAAAGCTACATAACACACAAGGGGACGGGTAATAACCAGAAAAGCATGTCATGGGACCTGGCTAACACAAGAACAGACAGTGATTTTGAAAGAGACCAACACTTTTTATTTTTGTATTAGGGATGTCTCTTAACATCCCTGAGGAATAATATTACATTACATTACATTGCATTTAGCTGACGCTTTTATCCAAAGCGACTTACAATAAGTACATTCGACCAGGAAGACACGACCTTGAAGAAAACAGAATCAAAAAGTACATCAGGTTTCATAGAGCCAAAACATTTCAAGTGCTACTCAACTGGCTTTAGATAAGCCAGTCCTTTATTAGTATATAAGTGCTTTGTTAATAAATCTATCGCTCGAGGTGGAGTCGAAAGAGATGAGTTTTCAGTCTGCGCCGGAAGGTGTGTAAGCTATCTGCTGTCCTGATGTCAATGGGGAGCTCATTCCACCATTTTGGAGCCAGGATAGCAAACCCACGTGTTTTTGCTGATGGGAACTTGGGTCCCCCTCGCAGCGAGGGTGCAGCGAGCCGTTTGGCTGATGCAGAGCGGAGTGCACGTGCTGGGGTGTACGGTTTAACCATGTCCTAGATGTACGAAGGACCAGATCCATTCGCAGCATGGTAAGCAAGTACCAGTGTCTTGAAGTGGATTCTAGCAGTTACCGGAAGCCAGTGAAGGGAGCGGAGGAGCGGAGTGGTGTGTGAAAATGTAGGAAGGTTGAAGACCAAACGAGCCGCTGCATTCTGGGTGAGCTGCAGAGGTCGGATGGCACATGCAGGTAGACCAGCCAGGAGGGAGTTGCAGTAGTCTAGGCGTGAGATGACGAGAGCCTTGACCAGAACCTGCGTCGCTTTCTGTGTCAGCTGAGGACGTATCTTCCTGATGTTGTAAAGCGTGTATCTGCAGCAGCGGGTTGTAGCAGCGATGTTTGCAGTGAAGGACAGGTTGTTATCTAGGGTCACACCCAGATTCCTTGCAGTCTGAGTCGGGGAAACAACAGAGGTGCCGATGTTGATTGTCAGGTCAAGAGTGGGACAATCTTTTCCCGGAAGGAAAAGCAGCTCAGTCTTGTCAAGGTTGAGCTTGAGGTGATGAGCAGACATCCACTGAGAGATGTCAGCTAGACAAGCAGAGATGCGTGCGACGACCTGGGTATCTGAGCGGGGAAAGGACAGAATTAATTGGGTGTCGTCAGCGTAGCAGTGGTAAGAAAAACCATGCGGGCTAATGACTGATCCGAGCGAGTTTGTGTACAAGAAGAAGAGGAGGGGACCAAGAACAGAGCCCTGAGGGACCCCTGTAGTTAATTGACAAGGGTCGGACTCAGACCCTCTCCAAGTCACCCTGTAGGTACGGTCTTTGAGGTATGAGGTGAGGAGGGAAAGTGCAGAGCCTGAAACTCCAAGTTCTTGGAGAGTGTGAAGGAGGATCTGATGATTCACCATGTTGAATGCAGCAGACAGGTCCAACAGGATGATGACAGAGGAGAGAGATGCTGCTTTGGCAGTGTGCAGTTCCTCAGAGACAGCAATGAGAGCAGTTTCTGTGGAGTGACCTGCCTTGAAACCAGACTGGTGCGGATCCAGAAGGTTGTTCTGATGGAGATAACAGGAGAGTTGTTTAAAGACAGCGCGTTCAAGTGTTTTAGACAGGAACGGGAGTAGAGAGACAGGCCTGTAGTTTATAACATCTGACGGGTTGAGAGTGGGTTTCTTTAGGAGAGGGTTTACTCTTGCCTCCTTGAGACTGTTTGGAAAGTGACCAGAAGTTAGAGAAGTGTTGATGAAATGGGTGAGAAACGGTAGAATATCAGGAGCGATAGTCTGAAGGAGGTTTGAAGGGATAGGGTCCAGAGGACAGGTGGTAGGGCGGGCAGAGGTAATGAGGGTAAGAACCTCACTTGGAGAGAGAGGGGAAAAGGAGGTAAGTGTGTGGGTGGAAGGAGGGTCTGGTGGCCCAGCGGTGAGTAAAGGTGAGTCAGAAAAAGAAGAGCGAATATCATCAACCTTTTTTTCAAAGTGGGTAACAAAGTCGCTTGACAGAAGTGAGGAGGGGGGAGGAGCTTTTGGAGGGTCCAAGAGGGTGGAGAAGATGGAAAATAGTTTGTTGGGATTGGAATAGGAAGATTGGATCTTATCTTGAAAGAAAGTGCTTTTTGCCTGAGAGATCGAAGCAGAGAAAGAGGAGAGGAGAGCCTGATAGGTTAGGAGGTCGTCACGGTGTTTGGATTTCCACCGTTTCCGCTCTGCTGCCCTAAGGACGGTTCTATTTGTTCCTGCCTTCATCTGCTAACATTCCTAGAGATATACAGTATGTGATTTGGTTTAACGGCACCCCTACCGTCACGTCAATAACTGTTCAGGTGGACGTTGCAGCTCAAACACCGGGGACAGGGAGAGGCTTTCAAGACAAAACCCCGTAAAATGATGATAGTTTCCGAAAAAGTTCTGGGAGAAGTTGATAAAGGAGAGGCGTATAAAATCAGGAAGACACCACAGGGACTGTAGGAAGCACTGTGTTGTGCTTAAATGCTGTTAGTCAAAATGACTGCTTTTCCCTGTCATTTTCACATTGAAGAGAAAAAAAATCTCTTGTGAGAAGAGCCGTGAATACCTGGACAGATACTAACAGGGGTGGCGCTGTGGGCTGTGCGTTTGATCATCAGATCAAGGGGGCGTTGGGGATCTCCAGTTCGAAACCCGCCTCCGCTGCGTCAGGCCGTTGTGTCCTTGGGCAAGACACTTCACCCGAATTTGCTCCTGTGGGTATTGTCCACAGTACATGTCTGATATCAATGTGTACTTGTAAAGCGCCTTGATGACTTTGAGGTGTGAAGATGGGCGGTGTGGCGCAGTGCGCTGTGCATTGATTATCAGATCAAGGGGGCGAAACCCGCCACCGCTGCGTCTGTAAAGCTGTTGTGTCCTTGGGTAAGACACTTCACCTGAATTTGCTCCTGTGGGTATTGTCCACAGTACATGACCATTACATGTATGTTAGCAGTGATAAAACCGCTTCTTAAAAAGCACAACCTCGATCCAGAGGTTTTAGCCAATTATAGACCTATTTCCAATCTTCCGTTCCTCTCAAAAATTCTTGAGAAAGCGGTCGCAAAACAGTTGTGTGATTACTTAAAAAACAATGATTTATTTGAAGATTTTCAGTCTGGCTTTAGAACACATCATAGCACAGAGACAGCTCTGGTTAAAGTCACAAATGACATTCTAATAGCCTCTGACAAGGGACGTGTCTCTATTCTTGTTTTGCTCGATCTCAGTGCTGCATTTGATACTATCGACCATGATATCCTATTGCAAAGACTAGAGCACTTAGTTGGCATACAGGGACCTGCTTTAGACTGGTTTAGGTCCTATCTATCTGAACGCTCTCAGTTTGTACGTGTCAATGATGAATCTTCCACGCAAACCAAAGTTAGCCATGGAGTGCCACAGGGCTCAGTGCTCGGACCTATTTTGTTCACATTATATATGCTTCCGTTAGGCAATATTATAAGGAATCATTCTGTAAACTTTCATTGTTATGCGGATGATACTCAACTATATTTATCAATCAAGCCTGATGAAATTAATCATCTAAATAAAATTCAAGACTGCCTTAAGGACTTAAAAACGTGGATGACCTTAAACTTTTTGATGTTAAACACGACCAAAACTGAAGTTATTGTACTTGGCCCGAAGAATCTACGAAACAAATTATCTAAGGATATACTAACTATGGATGGCATTAATTTGGCCTCCAGTGAGACTGTAAGGAATCTTGGTGTTATATTTGATCAGGATTTATCCTTTAACGCCCACATAAAATCAATTTCAAGGACCGCCTACTTCCATCTACGTAACATTGCAAAAATCAGGCATATCTTGCCTCAAAACGATGCAGAGAAACTAGTCCATGCATTTGTTACTTCAAGGCTGGATTATTGTAACTCTTTATTATCAGGGTGTACCAAGAAGTCAGTCAAGTCGCTTCAGCTGATTCAAAATGCTGCAGCTCGTGTACTAACCAGAGTTAGGAAAAGGGACCACATTACTCCTGTTCTGGCT